TCGAATCTCCAGAGAATACTCTCAGGATGGTCACCTCCTGGACATCAAAGACATTTTCTTTTTCCTATTTGTAAGTGATATTTTTTTGGATTAAAGAAATCTTTGAAACACATTAACGACACTATCCATTGTTTGCTTAAAGATCTTTTCGACGATTCTATTTATTACGATGGAACGATGAGTGACTAACCTTGACCCAAGACGATGCTTGAAGAGCCCCGTCTCTGCCTCGGTGGGGGTGGTTGGTGTTTGTGCGTATGGCTGTGACTGTGGCTGTGTGAATGTGAGTGGCAGTGTGTGTGACGTGTGTGCGTGGGCGTGGCTTTGCACGGTGGCGGTTGTTGTTGTTGCTGTTGCTGCTGCTGAGGATGAAGATGAGGATGAGGCCTGTGCTAGGTGTTCCCGCCACGGGCCGCTCCCACTTGATCGAAGCTCAATGATTTCTTCATCTCCGTCATCGACAATGCTCCACCCTCCTGCTGAGAAAACAGGAGGCACAGATGTTAGCTATATCGGGGGTGGTGATAAGTCACCACCTCTCGCTACCACACCCCATATACCCCCCGGGTACGAACCGATCGAGTTATTAAAAGTTACCAGGCCTCGTTAAAACTTGTCCCAAACTTTTTCAGAAGCTCGTAAAGAAGTTTACCTCTCGCCTCATGTGAGCCTACGGTTATTATAGATATCGCTAGTTTATGGCCTATTCCGTTCCATACCTCGATATAAAGAACTTATTCTCGTCGTTCCTGGATCCGAGCCACCACCGTGTATGCTTTTTTTTTCCTGTTTTCTTCCAATCAACTCGTTGTTAAATTTCCCTCGATTCAGGATTTATGAATTTCCTCTTCTCATATCGATTCGAATGATCAATTGTCCAGCTGCCACCCCGCGAAAAAAAGACTTATTTGATAGAAATATGTGTACGAGGATGGGGAAATTTAATGAAAAATCGGAAAAGGACTTTTTCCGAGCTATGGCTGTATATATATATATATATGATGGATTCTCTTCTTGTTTTTTTTTTTTCCTTTTTCATTTTCGGAGGAAGGGTGATGCGGTTTTGGACGAGGGAACAAACCGTGCGAAATGCACACTGCTCGCTTGATAGAATTCCACGTTTTTCGAACGGAAGCACAGTGTATCGAAACGTTTCGATTTGTTCGACGAAGAGTGGACCGAACGGTTTGACACGCTGAATTTTTCGACTCGAATCTCTTTTAACTTTTCCGGTTTTTTCAATTTCGAAATAACGCTGAAATTTTTGAGAAATCATTCGTTAGATAGATATCAGACTAATTAATTTTTACGCAACAGTTTTGTTTCCGTAATTAATAAAAATGGATGCAGATTTTGTTTTTAGCAAAATTAATGTTATTATCGAGATGAAAACGTATCTATTTTCATTCATCTATGCAAAATATTATTTATGTAAATCTGTTTGAGGACAAACATATAACGAGATCTCATTAATTCATCCCATTATGTATGATCACATGCCTGATATTTTCTTTAATTAATAGGAGTTTACGCTTACTATTTATTCATAAATACACAACAATGTTACGTTTGAAACGAATTTACGAGCGTAGTAATTATGCTTGATAAATTATTTCTTCATTTATTTTATAACAGTGGAAAAATGAATAAATCCAATAATTCAAATCTATTATACAAAATTTGCATCCACGATAAACTGAGTTACGTGTAATACGTTTATAAATTGCGAGTCGTAAAAATCCATAAGAAATGATCGAAAAATAAACTCGAATCGAAAAGCGCCTATCTATATTCATTCACTATGAAAACTCGTTCGTCTCTCTGTCGAAATGAATTTGCAGGGAGGACTGTAACGAGGACATGGAGGACGAGTATCATCGAGCTTCCGAGAGATTTGAAAGATTGCGATAAACATTTCTGGATTGCAATATCGACAAGCATCGTGTCGAGGCACTGATTAAAGTATCGAAAAGAGGAAGGAACGGAATTCAACACTGATGCATTCCATTCGTCTCTCCACCATTTTCTCTCTTCAAATTGAGTGGTGGAGAAATACACGATCATACCTCGAAGTCATAACTTTGTCAACTCTCGATAATTCTCTCTAATTCCATTTAAATTAAACTCGAATAACGAGAATCTCGAGAAAATCCATCTCGAATTCGAGCAATTTTATTTCGAAATCGAAAATTTATAACGAAACGACACTATTATATACTACGCACAATTGTGTCGATCATTGATGTTATAACGTCCGGTAATAATTATTCATAATTCATCTCGAGTTAATTAAATTGAATAATATCAAACCTTTTGATATCCTTCGATGATGGAGATAATTAACAGAAGTTTGTCGTGCAATTTGTATAATTTGTATCCTTTTTGCGAAATACGAAATTGTAAACCGCGAAAGAATATTAATATAAATTTCGCTTAATTTTATTCTAATTTTTTACAGAAAAATTTACCCAATTCGAGATCCGAATATTACATTCGCTCGTTCACGAATTTTATCGCTATTTTATACAATATGCAAACGTAATAAGAAGAATAATAAGATATTTCAATATAATACACAAATTATTAAATCTATATGCGTGCAATATATACAATTCGTTATTAAAATTTGCAATAAAATTGAAAAAGACGAAAAAAAGAAAGATTAATTTTTCGATCATACATATTTTAATAAGAAATATTAAGGAATTCGTTTGTTTTTCAAGAGAATATCCCATAGATCGGTTTCACGGAAAGTTTGCGAGAATGTGACGTGGACTGGAAAAATCATTTCCGCCACGATCAGAAGCACCATTCACGCGAGGACGTTTCGGTTCAGCTGCATTCTCTTCCCGATCATTGTTTAACGAACACTCTATTCTCTCGCCCATGTAACCGTATGAAGGGAGGATATCCAACCGTGCCGCTCCATCAAGCATCTTTAAATTTTCGGAATCAAATTTTACGAGTTACTTAGCGCTGGCATGATCGTGTCGTGAATATTCATATATTCGTGTTGAATATTCCTTCTCATAAGAGAAGCGAAATAAAAGAAGAAAGAAAAAGAAAACTTTCGTACGAAGAAATGTCATTTACGCAAATAGCAAAATTGAATGAAAAGAATACTCGTTTCTTCAAGGCGCCATTCAATTCTTATCCGAAACATTACTGAGAAAATATCAAGATAAGATGAGACATTGTGTATACACTCAATATAAAACAAGAGTTATCTTTGCTTTGAAAATAATTCGAAGAAGATGACACGTAAGTTTAGTTCCGTTTCAAAAATATTTCTCCATCTTTCTCGAAATCAAGATAACTCCGTTTTTCGAATTCCCCTCGCGGTTGTTCGTTTACTTAGCTTCCACTTTAGCTTCGATAAACTTTCGAGCATGCACGGTGGAACGATCGATCCAAGACGAGGCAATGAACGGTGTGTGGCCGAAACGTTCGTCGAAACAATTTTTGAAGAGATGTCGTTGTCCATGAATCGTGTTACAGTCGTACAACAGCAGTACGAGGCATGCAATCAAGTATTATACACGTATACGTACATAAAACGCGTATGTCGAACTGATTATCGTTAAATGTAAGCGTGCGTTTATTGCAGAGAGAGAGAGAGAGAGAGAGAGAGAGAGAGAGAGAGAGAGAGAGAGAGAGAGAGAGAGAGAGAGAGAATTCTGTACCAATTAAACAGTGTTTGTGCTCTTTCTTTCTCTCTTTCTCTTTTTCCTTCCCTCTCTCTTTTTATAGATTATTATAATATACACTTGAGCTGTAAAATGCAAAACACATAGTTAATTATACGTAAAAAGAAAGAAAGAGAGAAAGAGAGAGAAATACGAATTAAATAAATATTTTGTGTACAACAAAGTCCAATCTAATTAATATTTTTTAATATATCAAAGTGTTAGATAAAGAGAAATGAAAACATGAATCTTTTCTATCGTCGTATTTTCTCTCGCGTTTCGAGGCTTAATGAAAGAAATGCAAAGATCACTAGGCTAGCAGGGCTCAATGGAGGCCGTGCCTCGATCACGGTAATCGAGTCATTCGAATACTATAAAAATTGTTCGATCGAATTGATAGTAGGTTCGTTAATAACGATTCGTGTCCTCGTTACACGTTATTCTCTTCAGGATTGAATTACCGTGAAACTGGCACAACTCCGCGTTCGAACGATGGCTCCTCATCGAGAACCTCTTGTAAAATCGACAAATTTACAATGGATTGGAACGACACTGTCTGTGTCCGTAACGGTGATACAGAGTGTTCAAAAAAAAACCATTCATTTTAAACATTTTCTAGAATTTTCGAGACAGTAAATATGGAGAAATCAATAATAAATCGTTCGTGACGTGTAAAAATAACTGTATCTCAAGAAACGTAGAATTTTCCACTTATATTTACTAAAGCTTTACTAAAGCTTTTTCAGCACGATGTCCCACCCTAAATGAATAGTTTTTTTCGACCATCCTGGACACGAAACACACCATTCGAAACAACACAATAGAAAATGGGAATGAAAGAAAGAAAACGGGAAAAGGAGAAAAAAAATGAAAGAATTCGAAGAGAGGCCATCGTCGAGAGCCCGTCGTGAGGGACAGGACTTACACCATTTAACCGTGGTATCTCGATGCTCGGTATGTAGGTGGTCTCTTCGTGGCTGGTGGAACAATATCGCGTTCTCCTCCTCGTGGCACGCGGGCTGCAACGGTCGCACGGCACCGCGGCGTCGGAATTGC